TGGCAGGAAAGAGACAGAGCATGCTCTCTATCTTTTACTGTGCAACATCATTAGCGTATAGATATCAACTGCTGGACATGGGAAGATTTACCAAGATTTATATTTTAATCCCCAAGATTTAGCATATTGCGCATTCGATTATCGATTTATTCCGTACTTTACCAGTCCCTTTAAATCATTTCTTCAATATTTTATGGATCGTGTGTATTATTCAACAGCTCTGTTTTTTTTATTAAAAACGACACCCGTCACCGGTTTTATTGAGCGTAGTATTTTATCGGCTTTTCGCTGCGTCGTGGGCATATTTAAAAATACTCTTACGATTTCAGCTCTCATTTACTATAATCATTTTATTATTTTTTACATTTCAAAAACTTTATAGTTCTCATGGTAATTAGGGTTTTCTGAATTGAGTCTCTATATACATTTGGGATCCTCTATTCGATTTGGGTCAGTAAAGCATTGCGCTATTGCTTCACACGAGTTTGTTTTTGATTCCGTCCTTATTATTATTATTTTCCGTCCTTAGTTAGTTTGATTCCGTCCTTATTATTATTATTAGTGATTTTGATTCCGTCCTTATTATTATTATTTTCCGTCCTTAGTTAGTTTGATTCCGTCCTTATTTTTATCATTAGTGATTTTGATTCCGTCCTTATTATTATTATTATTAGCCAGTCAATAAAATACACGTCTTACTTCTTCCGAGTTACATCACGTCTGTCTTCCATTGCGTTGGGCAACTACCCTCATTCTTCCTCTTGCTTAAAAGAAAACCATATGTCAAACATTCGCTCAGTCACTCAGTCATGCTCCATATCTGTCATTTATCCTTACGTTCCTATATATATATATATATAATAAAAGAGTATATTTTTTAGGTACATAGACAAAATTAAAACTACTTTTTACTTTAAGAAGTAGAAGTAGTTTTAATTGAAATATAACTCTTCTAATTTACCATTGTTCTCGATGCGTCCATAGCTCATTCATGCGAAATTGATAAAACTTAGTACAGTTGTTGTTGGCACTCCATAGAACTTTTCTATCATAGCCTACATATGCCGCCTACATATTTACTCTGTTCTGTAGTTTGTTACAATTAAAAACGTAACACTGATCTAGAAATTTTTACAGTTTTTAAAAGAAACAAGAAGTTACAGATAACCCGCAATATTTAATAATTATTATCCTACTATAATACATATTATAAGTATATAACAGTACAATTCAGTAAGTTTATAGAAGACGGTGGAAGAAGTTTCTTTTTTTTTAAATAAGAAATCTATAATACCAATTAATTTTACATATTAATGAAGCTACTCGATGTAGGAGGAAAAAATATCAGATGTTCGTGTTTGAATGAGTTTTCGAATAATTTTTTTAATATAATTTATTATAGTATTATACTATTATATGATACCAAACACGATAACACGATATAGTATTATACTATATCGTGTTATACTATATCGTGTTTGACCAGTAATCGAATCGCCTGTCCGCCGATTTTGTTAAATTTAATTTCAAGTTGCTATGTCTAAGCTTACGTACTATTTCATACGGGGCTACACAATTAAATACTTATTGAAATCTGTCTAAGACTATAAAATACTAATTGGAAATTCCTTTCGCGCAGCCTATAAATTAATATATTTACAGCATAAAATTTTATACACAATTTCGTTCAAAGTTTTTTGACTGTATTTGTGTAGTATACCTTATAATTATCATCTGATATTTTAAATATTACATTGCTACATCATATTCATTAGGTAATTTAAATGCATTTATTTTTGGATATAATTAAATCCCTAACTTATTAAGACGAAAATTTTAATTGCTTTCGTATTCATATCCAAGTCAGTTAATTAAAATGAAAATATAAAAATTCTATATTCAAAACACGAATGTTCAACGCGTAATCAACACAGAGACTAATATTTTGACGTAATAAAAGTCAGACTCTGTTATTAAAAATGGAAAAATGGCATAAGATCAAGCATGACTTGTGAGATTCAAGTGTAAAGTACTATTCAGATTTACCTTAAATGTTAAATTTATTCAAGCCATGACCTACGTGTTTATGTTATTTTTAAATTAATTACATGTTTAAATTGCCATTCCCTAGGAATATAATACTAATGACTAGTACTAAGCAGTACTGCAACTACTCTTCTTAGCGGATTTCGGCCACGGCGACTACTTTAAGTCTGTTTCTAACTGTCACGGTGTGCTCGTGTGTGCTTAGCATTGCGGACAGGTGATCACACCATTATATTACTTAAATGTAGGTGAGTAAGGCTGTAATTTCATCGCGACATACTAGTGGTAGGACGTCTTGTGAATCCGCACGGGTAGGTACCACACCCTGCCAATTTCTGCTGTGAAGCAGTAAAGCATTTCGGTTTGAAGGGCGGGGCAGTCATTGCAATTAACTATTCTTGAGAACATAGAACTTATATCTCAAGGTGGGTGGTGCATTTTCGTTGTAGATGTCTGTAGACTCCAGTAACCACTTAACACCAGGTGGCTCGTCCACCCATCTAAGAAAAGAAATAATAACTATCTCAGAGCAGAGTTTCTCCTCAATGTTTTTTACTCTGGTTTTCACCAAAGCCCTCGATTCTGGCATCAATAAATAATACTAATTATTTCGTTCTTAGAGACAAGGTAGAAGAAATTCATTCATAATATTAGAATTATTACTTTCATACATGTTTTATTAGCTTCATCTTGTCTGTATGTTTATATCTATCTAATGTTTTATCTCTAAAAATATATTTTAAGAGAGACAGCAGATTTTTTTATTGGTTAGTATCTAGAGCTGGTTATTAATTAAGATTGTATGGAGGGTTAGTGAATTTTTAAGTGGATCGTCACAGATAAAATTACATTTACTAGAGGTCCCGCAGTAGTCGAAATTCGACTATAATTAATTGGAATTGTAAGTTTGTACACTATTATGATTGTATTTTTTACTTCTATAATCACATATTTCGCCAAGACTACACTATAAAAAATATTAACAAATACAAACAATATTTAATCTATTCTCAATTTGACAACAGATGCCAAGAACAAAAGTTTGACAATAAATAGTATGCATGCGTGCGTGCGTCAAATACATGGTGTGTAATGTTTTTTTTATTGATTTAATGTATCTTTTATGCATAATTTAAAAAAAAAAATTAGTATTGTGCACTTCTTCTCTATATTCTCTATAAGTGTGCAAAATTTCATACTCCTCCGTCCGCGCAATTTTCGTAAAAAGGGATACAAAGTTTTTGCTTCACGTATTAATATATAGATAAACTAATAAGAAATGGCTACTTTATTTTGTACTTACAGGGGAAAATACGTTTTGGATGCTTTTTAAATGAATTATTCCTTTTAAAAATAAAGATTTTAAACTACTTAAACCATTGTTCTTCTAATACATAAAGCCTTTGTGATATGCTAATCTAAAGCTACTGCAGGTGAAACCAAATTCTATGATATATTCCTTATTCTATTAGGTATGCAGTTTTCTATATTTTTATACATTTTATTTTTATATCTTTAATAATTATAAACATTTAACAATATGTTCGATTAATATCATTCTCATATTTACAATAAAATTAGAATCTACAAATTTTATAACAAATGTTTAAAACACTTTGATATGTTATAAGATAAATTATTGAATAATTTTAAATATGTTCATATAAACAGCTTCTTATCATACAATATTTCTTTAATTTTAATTAATAATGTTCATTAGCGCTTTTCCCCATTGAATTGTCTTTTATACTAAATAATCACTAAATTTAGTACATATACATGCTATTATACTTATTTTAAGTGAACAAAAAAATACATCGAAAAGTTTTTTTTATGGACTGTTAGATGTGTAATCTGTGGCAATAAAATCTCTTAGCAAAAAAAAGAAATCTGGCAAAATCTAAATTTCGTTTGAAATAATATTAAAAAAACTTTCATTTTTAGGATGATCCCAGACCATTTTTGGAAGTGAAAGCTAAACTTATCACTTATTTTTTGGCATAGCTTTTTTGTTAGATATTATTATTCGCGCGTATTCTTAAGTTCCATTTAGATCAATCAGTTTGCTGCGTCATCATTCATTAATTTCAAACTGTGGTATTTATGGTAATGATAACTGTTTAGAAAAACGTGTCATTAACCTCTTGTATAGAGTATTTATTGATGATTTTTTTTTCTATCAAAAATTACTCGAAAATAACCATTTTTTATTGACAGTTGAAACTTTAGTGCTTTAAGCTTTAGTGCTCTGTTGTTTGGTCGCGACGATAGATTTACTATTTATTAGTGCAATCAAATACTAAACTAATTATTTTTACGTATTATCGTGTAGCGTATCTTTCCTTGTTTTGATAAATGGTAACAATATAAATAGATTTTTTTAAAGAAAAAAATTCAAGTCATTAACTTACTGAACAAAGGTATAACTTATTTTCACACCGACTGTAGTTTACTTCAGCGTGAAACAAAAAAAACATTAAATCTCACTGAATCTCAATATGAAAAGAAAAAGTGGCTTTCGTGAAATTAAATTCATACTTTATTTCAGTTTAGACAAAATATTATTCTTTATTTTCTTGACTACTTTTGGTTCTAGCTCACATTCAATCTTACAATAAACTCTTTTGAAGTCGAAATTTAAGAGATTCTAAATAAAGCCCACTAAAGAGTCTGTAAGGTACATTTGATTTGATTAAAATATCATCTAAATCTTAGTCAATATTTCAATGTTGCTTTTTCACGATTAACACTCGCCAAATAGTTTTTTATGAATTATATTTACAAACGACATTATATAGTATAGCATCACTTAGCTCAAAATTGCTTTTATCATTATTTGAAAATCACATGTGTTAGAAAATAAGTTTTTTTTCACCAATTGTTAAGCGGGCTATCACGAAATGACCCAAAATGTCGTATAGATAGATAGATAGATTATTGAAATGTAACTGAGATTTTATTTCTACGTAACTAAACTACATCACTCTTGTCCAGTAGCACGTTGTTGCTACCGTTCTCTTCTTGTCAGATGTGGTATTCCCGTAGTGGTCTTACCGATTCCGCTGAGGATCTAGGGGTGGGGTCTACTCCTGAAAGACCTAAGGAGCCGCTTCGGCGTACCTGAAATGCGGCTCATCTTAAATTGCGTTAAATATAGCAGTATATTTTGCATGAATTGATAAGCGAAAAAAAAAATTTAGCACCTAAAAAAATATTTCCACAACAACTTGCGAATAGATAGCAATATTAAAGTTCCGAAATTATCTCGAAGCAAAAAAAATATGACAGTATTGTTATATAAATTATAAATAAATAATATTATAAAGCTGAAGAGTTTGTTTGTTTGAACACGCTAATCTAACTACTGGTCCGATTTGAAAAGTTCTTTCAGTGTTAGATAGTCCATTTATTGAAGAAGGCTATAGGCTATATAACATCACGCTAAGACCAATACAAACGGAGCACCAATAAATAATGTTGCAAAATCCGGGTTTTTTGGGGTGAACATACATAGATAAAAAGTGATGGTCGAATTGATAACTTCCTCTTTTGGAGTCGGTTAAAAAGCGTGATTTTGGTACCTTAAATAGCTCCTTAACATTCTATTATTCAAAAATATTTTCACTTTCTACGTAAATGAAGTGGCGGGTAAAATTTAGCGTTATGCCAAAGTAAATATTCCACGCGGACGAAGTCGCGGGCAAAAGCTAATTACTATATATTTCATCAAGGAATTTACTAAAGCACTGATTAATCTTATTAAACTACTTACTCAGCTTAACAATACCAAAAATCTATCTTAAGCTATACACATACACATACGAACTAAACACAAATGAGATGATCTACAAATAGCCAAAGTATACTTAAAAACATTACAGAAGCGTCTTCACAGACTCACCACTAATGTCTTAGTTCCGTAATCTGTGACGAAGTTGTCGTTTCTCGTCGGCGTGTTCGCTCTGACCGTTTGATAGCCGCAACAAGGTGGATACCTCGAGGTGAGGATTTTCTTGAAGGCCTCCCTGAATTCCGTGTTGAATATCGAGTAGATGATAGGGTTGAAGGCCGAGTTGGAGTATCCCAGCCACGTCAATATCTTGAAGGCTAGATCTGGAAAAGGAATGCTCATCAAAACTAATTTTCTTAGTAGACTTCTTTATGTAAACACAAGCTGAATTGAATTTGTTTGTTAACTTGGAACATTTTTATAATATTGATCATCATGATATGAGAGTAATTTGATTGAGAGCAGATTAGAAAACCAAACAACAAACTTAAATTTTTTTACTAATAATCTTTACTTGACCTGACGGGTATTGCTTGTGTACGAGGATTTTTGACTTCATGTTGAAATTAATTAACATTTTATTTGAGCTCAGAAGGATTAATTATTACATCAGGCTTGTTATTTTGTGTGCACACAAAAACTGAGATAATTTCGAAATTACATTTTCACTGAACAACGAGGCTATTAAAATAATGTGAAATTTATTTTTGTTGACTTCAAACGTAAAATACAGGGAAAGGGCTCTGTATGTTCCTAAAAATAAAATCATAAAAAACGCCCGTTTAAAAAAAAATTGAGCTTCAAAAATAATAAAAATGACAAAATAAAATATTATTTAAATGAAAATAAAAGTTTATTAAAAAAAAATTTCAAGCTATCTTTATAATTTTCTACTTTTACAGACCTGACGCGAATATAAGGGTTAATGTGTGTGTATTATAATTTTTTATTTTTAAATTTTTGTTACAGACCCGAGCGAAGCAGGAGCTGGCAGCTAGTAATATTATAAACGGACAATTGACACTCTCAGACTATGTACAACAGTGATTAAAACGTAAAGTCGTCGTGGTCAAAGCCATAAGACGCCCGGCATAGATGCATTGACTGATGCGAATGTACCGGTGTTCAAATCCCGCAGACAAATACCATTTTGTCTAATGAAATACATACTCTACGTATGTTCATTACTAAATAAAGACATAGCATCCTTAATCAGTATACTTATGACCAGTCTAGGCAGTAAATAAATAATAACTGTGACTGATAATGATGAATGATGACTATTTGATGAATTAGTGTTAAGTAGGAATTCGCACTACTAAATAAACTTCTTAAACGTGGCATTTATGTTAAGAGCTGTCATTGCGATTTCAATCAATAAATATGAAGTGATAGAAGCTCTCGTTTTGAAATTATCACTTATTGTTTAGCTGTATTTCACTATTTTTATTAACTAAGAAAATACTTTACGATTTTTTATTTCAATACAAGGTGATGAATCTGTTTTAGCTTGTATTCGAGCATTAAACTAATTACGTTAGTTCTTTTAGTAAAATCCGCCCAGCTCGGTTTTCCGAAGGCTATTGACTATACATAGGCTACTTTGAGAGGGCAATTGAAGTCGTAAATGCATTTTTTTCCCTACCTATGCTGATAGCCTTGAAAGGTTATACCAGCGTTATCTTAGCGTGTAGGTGAGCGCTTGGGGCTCAAACCGGAGGTTTGCTAACACTGGCCCCAGCAAGGGCAATGCTTCGCAGATTCTACCGCGGGATAGAGAATGCCGTTCGTGGCCCTTATCTCTTGCCTAAGAGCCTTATTTGAAACAAAATGACTTTAGTGCTTGAAATTCATCAATTAACGTAAACCATTTCTTCTAAATAGCTTTCTGTCAAAATCACAATGAAAGATAAGTATACCGTTCTAAAGTTCCATTAACTAAGTTAAAAGCTGTATAACGTTTTGCAATTCGAAAGAAGTAAAAACCCGAGTACTTACATGTGTTTTTTTTGTAAGAGCTTTTATGCAAGTTCCAGACTTTATATAAAAGCTTAATTTGAAGCTTTCAAACAAATTACTTCACACACCAACCTTTGCAAGACTCCCAACCTTTCTTTTAAAATCTTGTATAAAAATTGGAAAACTTATTTCTCGAGTACGATTTCTTTTTCGTGCAGAAGAACCAAAGAGCTTAGAGCTTAAGCTATTGTATGCGGATACCGATAACTCGATAAAAGCTCAAATCGAATTTGTTTTAATTGGAATGATGATTATTCCACACTTTACTCTTGAACATAAATTTGCTTGGTATATTAATACTATTAAGTTATATAATTACTATTAAGTAATATTACCAGATTAAGTTAAATACATGTAAAGAAAAAGCTTTAGTGCCTTTAAAAACTCGTTGGTTTTAAAAAAGATTTTATCTTAGACGAAATTACTCTACTGTCTTTGATTTAGTGAAGAGAGTAGTTGAGTTTTGAGTTATATAGTAATAGCTTAAAATATTAATTTAAAAAGAGATTAACGGCTTTAAAAATGTATTTTATAATTATATTTAATGCTCCAGAATGATTAAACAATAAAATAATTAATTGATTTTTCTGTAATAAATACTAAAGGTTTTTCAATACTTTTTTTTTATTGATTAGATGGATGGACGAGCTCACAGCCCACCTGGTGTTAAGTAGTTACTAAAGCCCACAGACATCTACGACGTAAATGCGCCACCCACCTTGAGATATAAGTTCTAAGATCTCAATATAGTTATAACGGCTGCCCTAGCCTTCAAATCGAAACGCATTACTGCTTCACGGCAGAAATAGGCAGGGCGGTGGTACCTACCCGCGCGGACTCACAAGATGTCCTACCACCAGCGTTCATGTCTCATGTTGCAATGTGTTCTCGTAATTATTAATGCGTTGCAATGGGTTCTCGTAATTAAGAACAATGAAATCTAATGCAATTTAAAAAATAAACATTAAAATTTTATTACAAAAAAAAAAGCATATCGATGTACATTGCTTGCTCTTATCAGTGCGATAATTTGCGAAAATATTTCTATTGAGTTCGAGAGCGCCCTGGAATTCGTATTCGTATCGGCAGGTCACGTATACATTCTTTAGGCGCAGCTATGCTAGTGATCCTAGAAGGTAGTTAGAAAAAATGTGTTCAGTGGTGCGTGTCGATTTATATCAAAATATTTATTTAATCTTGCCTTGGATATTACTGGCGGACCTCTAGTGAATCTACACGGTTAAGTACCACCACCCCGCCTATTTTTGCCGTAAAGCAGTAATGCGATTCGGTTTGAAGGGTGGGGCAACCGTTGTAGCTATACTGAGAGCTTAGAACTCTCTAGGTGGGTAGCAGCATTTACGTTGTAGACGTCTATGTACTCCAGTAACCTCTTAACAACAAGTGGGTTGTGAGCTTGTTCAGACATCTAAGCAATAAAAAAATAGAAATAAAAAAAGAAAAGAAGATAGAAGTTTTTTGTAACATTAATCTAATGTAAGTAGTATCTTTCTTTGTCTGAGATAGACTAACTAATTCTTGGTGGTGGTCTTCTGAAAGATCACATTTGCTCATAGTTAGCTGCCAATCAGGTTTTGGTACGAATATAAGATATACGTTTACGTATACGTTTATTGGTATTTTGGGTAGCATAGAAGGCAAGCGCGCCATGGGCGGAACACCAGACAGATGGTCAAATCTGGTTAAGGGAGCGGTTCGTGATAGTCTCTACCATGCGGTCCATGCCACCCATGACCGAGCACTATGGAGGAAAGTCACATCTGGTCGCGATTCTTAGTAGTGAGGGAACGATAAAGAAGAATAAGATAATGTATATGAGCTCTGGAAAAAACTTAACAATAGCTAAGCTTTTTGTTTGAAAGTAAAATAAATAAAAGGAATGTGTTCTATATTTACTCGCAATAAAATGTTAATTAACATTACCCAACAGATATATACCCAACAGATATAATTCAAATTATTATTAGAAAGACATAATATGTATTAATTTTTAATAATAAATGTTTTGAAGACAACGAATATTTCGTAATTGGACTATCTCGCTATCTCTTTCGCACATTTTCGTTACATCGGTGCTTATTTTTTTGTTTAGATAATCTATCCTTATATTTCACGTTTTATTCTTACTGCATGGCCTATGTAAATGTTCAGGTGATTTGCTTATATAATTAATTAGCGACCCGCCCTGGCTTCGCTTCGGAAGCTGTTATTTATTATTGATTTCTCCACTATTTAATGGATGTTATTATACCTTCCCCTTCAATTATTTTATCCATTAAAAAAACGCACCAAAATCCGTTGCGTAATTTTAAAGATAGGGATATATGGGCAGAGAAAGCGACTTTGTTTTATACTATATAGTGATACTCACCAGGGATGCAGGTCTTGCAGAAAGCAGCGACGATATTCACGCAGAAGAACGGAACCCAGCAGAGGAGGAAGACGCCCATGATGATGCCCACCGTGATGGCAGCCTTGTGGTCGGACACGTGGTACGGTGACGAGTGAACGTGCGTGTGGACGCGGGTCCGGACCGATTTGGTTCTATTGTCCGGCATTTGAACCGTTCGGGTTACCGCCCGAATCGATTTGACGTGTTTCTGGGCGTAGCAGTAGAGCCTAAGAAAAAAATAAAGTGCTTTTAATAAAATACAATATTCAAAACTATGAAAACCTAGAAATTATTCAACTCGTGTTTCACTAAATAAATAAAATAATATAGAATTCAATATTTATTTATTTATGGATTACCGACAGGGTTTACAGTAAAACATAAAATAACATTGACATGTATAGAGTAATTGATAACTGCAACTCTAATTAGAGGCAATCACAGCATGCATTACATTAATATATCAATAGAGATTTAACAATACTATTAATAATAATAAAAAATTAAAAACAAAAGAAAGACAACAAGGACAGTAATACCCGATTATTTTATATAATAATATAGATTCGATAATATAGAATTAGAATATAAAATAATCTATAATTATATATAAAGATAAATTGCTGTTGTTAGTCTCGCTAAAACTCGAGAACGGTGGGACCGATTTGGCTAATTTTGATCTTGAATTATTTATCGAAGTCCAGAGAAGGATTATAAGGTAGATAAATATGAAAATACTCGGAATTAAATAAAAATAACAAATTTGTTTTTACTTTGATTTGTGTCCCCGTCGGACGGATTCCTTTTGTTTGTTTTAAGTTTTTTTTTACAAAAATGTTTAGGTCTTTTATTTAGAGATTGAGGCACTACGAATTCTGCCGGGTCAGCTGGTATAGAATAAATTCAATGGTGGTAGGACGTTTTGTGAGCGCGCATGGGTGCCACCAAAATAGACAGGGCATTTTCTTTGCGAAACAGTATGAGAACTGGTTACCACTTAATATCAGGTGATCCACGAGCACGTTCTCGTATCTATCCATAAAAATATGTTTTTTTCAAATCAAAGTCAAATTATTCATTACTTTAAAAAAGATTCAATGGATTTGTAGTTATATCATATCCTACATACATATATAATACATTTTTTTTAAGATTGAAGAATTACTGTTGGCCCGGAGGCCTTTCCAGTTTCACCAGGACAGGTGGGCGAGCAAAGGCTCAGCCAGGAGGGGTGGGATTTGCTAACAGCTAACCGAGCGCCTCCGAAGGAGACCTAACAACTAAAGAGCAGCTGCTTCGCGAATGAATCTACTACCGGATCGGAATCGCGACCCGCTGAGAAGATCCGGCGAGAAACTCAGCGAGCTGATTCATGGGATATAATACTACTGAGCCATTAGTAGGATACCATAAAGATTTTAAGTAACAATCCGTGCAAGAGTTTTGAATAAGATCAAATATTATCTTCTTATCTCTCCAGGTATGGTCGATGGTTATAACATAACTATTACGACTTAAGCCACTTCTTAAACTTGTTGCAGTTTCCTTAAGATATATTGCAATGAAATAGGATAGTCATTAGTAGAAAATTATTATATTATATTACTACCGGAGGAATATTGGGAAGTATATGGAAAGCTGAATCTGGACGTGACTATTATCTCTCGAGCAAATCAAATGATTTTATTAAAGAATTTTCTGATTTAAAATATTAATGACTATCCGAATTATGTAAATTCAAGCTTACATTGTCACTTCAAATAATAACTTCTTAATGTGCAAAATTTAAAGTACTCATCCATTTTGCAAGATTACATTCGTTCGGAGGTTTATATGTAGAGATAATAAAATAGTTTGAGTAATAAAAGAGATATAAAAGCACTTGGAGATCGTTAGAATTATGATGAATTTTCATTTTAGTTGCATACTACAAAAATTAATGTTTTTAACAAGCTTTTATTATACCTATTTTAAGTAATCTTAATAATAGTACTTCGCAATATATGTATATACCTCCTGAGTCTTTTTCAAGAAGAGATCGCTTTTACCGATAAGACCGCTTATTGTACAGCCTCTTGACTGTTTATCAATGCTGTGATTTGGTGTGCAATAAACTATACTCTCTCTCTCTCTCTCTCTCTTTCTCTCTCTCTCTCTCTCTCTCTTTCTCTCTCTCTCTCTCTCTATATACAGTCAAACCTGGGTAAGTGAGAACTGGATAAGTGAGAAAACTCTATAAGTGAGAGTAATAGCCAGGACCCGTCATTTTAAGCTCCCAAAACCTCTATTAGAGAGAAACAGAAACCTCTGTAAGAGAGAGTCGTTTTTCCCTCATGGACCTCCGTAAGTGAGACTGCTACTTATTTATACCTCTATAAGCGACAGTCGNGTACGGAGTCTTCATTCCCGCAAAGAACCAAAGGGAAACGGGGGTGACTGAAAATCAGCGCTGTTCAATTTATCAACCTTGAACAGCAATAGCTGAGCCACCTCCTTTTGCCTTTTTCTCTTTTTTTTGCTTTTCTTTTTTTTGTATTTCATTTTATGATGTGAAAGGCAATAAATGATCTTTATTATTATTATTATTATTATTATTCGATATTATTGTTAGTCTTTTGGTAGTTTTTAATCTATCACCACCCATTATTATTCAATAAATGATCCCGTTTTCCATTTATGCGTTTCCAATAACGCGAACGGATAGCGCGCGGCAAACGATTTCGTGCGCGCAATTACCCTTAAAATTTACCGGATAATAACTTAACACGAAATGCATATGAATTGCGCCAGTTAATAATGTAGCTTAGACTTAATAAAGTATTTGCGACTTTTTATTTATTAATTCTTTATTTGTACACACTGTTAATAAAATACAGTAATTGGGATAAGATATAACAAATGGCAAGCTTAACTCAACAATTGAGCTATCTACCAGCTAACCATTCTCAAAGAAGGAAAGCTTTACATTAGTGGGTAGATGAGTACAATCTAATTAATTTAATTATTAATACTATAGACAATAAAAATAAAAAAATAAAATAAAAATAAACACTAATACATAACTTTTGACTTTATTTGTAGAAATATGTAATTATTTATATTTTAATATTTATGCAACCATACAGCACGCTTAAACAGTACGCGTGCCTGCTTAAGTCGTAAACTTTTCACACTGCAATAGCTTTTCTTCTTCGGTATATGTAATAATGAACTTATTATTACCACCGGTCAAATTATGCTAGGTTACTTGATTATTTTAATAGACTAGCTGACCCGACAGACTTCGTAGTGCCTTAATCGATAAATAAAAGACCTAAACTTTATTTAATTGCGAGCATTTTCATATTTATCTACATTTAAAACCTTCTCTGGGCTTCCACAAATAGTTCAAGATCAAAATTAGCCAAATCGATCCAGCCGTTCTCGAGTTTTAGCGAGACTAACAAACAGCAATTCATTTTTATATATATAGATAATAGAAATAATAGATAATAGATATACCTTTAGATTCCAGACCATCTGAAATAGCAAGATATTGAGGTAAAAGCACCAGAAGAAAAACGGATCCTTGTGCATTCTTAGGGGGACGCGGAACGGAGAAGGAGGCCAAGGAGTAAACCTCACTGCCCGGGCAGTGGCTTCCTACCTAATGTGGCAAGGGTGATTAGTTGCTGATATATTTTCTGTATATGGTGCCACGGTAATAAATGTGTACGGTTGCTCCTCACGAGACGTTTACCATAGTGAACGGCTATTCAGATAGGATTGGATATCACAACAGCTTAGCATAACTAGAGCATTATTCTATATTACGAGCACAAGGTAACCGGATAGCGCGGTCGGTTTACCCGGTTCCGTAACAAAGTTAGAACACAATTTGCCGGTTCGCATTCTGAAAAACTTAGCAGCACGATAGACAGATCGATCAGCGTTCTACCGGCTTAGAACGATTCCGTTGGGATTAAGCTGACGTTGATTAATTAACATTCAGCTTCTAAACCGCTTATGACATTAAATGATTGCATTAATTGAGGCGGGGAATTTGAACTATCCATTTCGCATGGATTTATTTTTGGTGACTTTTTGTTTATTCACACACGTGAAACGGAAGTTGTCACGACTCATCTGATAGTTTAGATAGTTTAGGGGTATTGGTTTATTTCAAATGCAATCTATTTAAGCAGACTTCAAAGAAGGAGGAGATTCTCAATTCAACTGTATCTTTTACGCGTGCTACCTCAGAACTTTTTTCTAGATGAACTGATATTCATTGTTCAATAGCTGGTGCTTCTTATGTGCTCTCATTTCAATTTACCAAGATCAGACCATTACTTTTTAATATATCCTTAATAATGCATATTTAATTAACTTCTATTTTATGGATAAAATTCTCATATTATTTTCATGAAATCGGTTTTTTTTTTTTTGTAGTCTATAGTGTTGTGTTTCATCCTCATTTGAAAAGGGTGTTAAGTACGTTAAACAAACTACGCAGAAAAGGTAATCTTATTATAGAGCAGACTGTAATGAGATCTAAAAATGCAGTGAGATTTGTGAGATATGTATGTATTTGTATGTAGTCCTCACTGCAGGCTCGTACCGATAGGCGATGAGGTACACCAACAATTTCACTTATCTATAATAATAATATAATAATAAAGCTTTCTTTATTCCACACAAAAATACTTAATTACAAACAATTTGAAGATACATGAATGGTTTTTTTTATTTTTTTATTATTAAACAGTTAAAAATTAAATATTAAAGTTTAAAAAGTTAATTAAGAAGTTAGTTAAGGATTAATTAATTTTAATATTATTTACATTATTTCTGTATGGACCCCCTTCGGGTAAAAGCCTCCTCTAAGGTACTCCACTTTTTCTTATCCTTGGCGATATTCAACCAATCTTTACCAGCCACTGTTATAATTTCGTCTACCCACCTAGCGTAGGGGCGGCCTTTAGCTCTCTTTCCTCGTGGACCTGTCCATACGACCGATCTTTTTGTCCATCTGTTGTCGTTGTATCTAGCCAGATGGCCTGCCCATTTCCATTTCCTTTGTAGCGAGAATGTTAAAGCATCTGTTATTTTCGTTTTCTGACGGATATTCGTGCATTTCACCTTGTCTTTAAGTTTTAAGCCCATAATACTTCTTTCCATTTTTCTCTGAGTGGTCTGGATTTTATTTTTCGTTTTGAAATCAAATATCCATGATTGACACCCATAGGTCAGGCATGGTAGTATAGTTGTGTCCATGGCTATCTTCTTAGTGGACAATGGCAGTTGCGATTTGAAAATTTCCTTATAAGCCCAATACTTTTTCCAGGTCATGGCGACTCGTCGGTCCACTTCTTCTGAGTGTCTCTCCCTTCTAAAAGATATTTGCTTTCCTAAATATACATATTTTTCTACAATTTCAAGAGGAATGTTGTTGATAGAGATTGGTAACGTATGGTGATTAGTCATTACTTTCGTTTTCTCGAGGTTCATTTCTAAGCCAATTTTTGAGCTAGCTTGATGTAATTCATTTATCATTATACTCAATTGTTGTGGGCATTCAGAAAATAGTATAACGTCATCTGCAAATTCGAGATGGCTCAGATAGCTTCCATTTATGTTAATCCCTTTTTTAGACCATGGTAAATTGCTCGTTATCTGTTGTAAGACGGCTATAAACAGTTTTGGGGATAGAGGATCGCCTTGACGGACTCCCCTCTTTATGTTGATTGTTGCTCCGATTCTATCTAGCTTAACTTTACTTGTGCAGTTGGTATAAATGTTTTTTAGAATGCTAATGTATTTTTCTTGAATATTTAATGCATGTAAAGCTTCCCAGATACTGTCGTGTGATATAGAGTCGAAAGCTTTTTTATAATCTACAAAAGCCAGGTATAGGGGCCTTTGGAACTCTAAGTATTTTTCGATAACCTGGTCGACAACTTGAATATGGTCTGCCGTGCTAAAACCCGTTCTGAAGCCAGCTTGCTCTATCGGCTGGTGTGAATCAATGCTGGAGGATATTCTTTCAAGTAGGCAGGAGGCAAATAATTTATATAAACAGGGCATAAGGCTAATCGGGCGGTAATTCCCTATGTCAGCTGGATTACCTTTTTTATATAGTAATATAATCTCAGACTCCCTCCATAGCTGCGGCACAGTTTCTTCTTCAAGTATTTTGTTCCATAAGATGGTGATTGGTGTCAATAGTAAGGTTCTAGCTAACTTGATGTATTCGTTGGTAATTCCATCTGGTCCTGGGCTCTTTTCTGACTTAAGTTTCTTTACTTGTCTTAAGACTTCAGACTCGGAAAAGCGTTGTACAGATGAGGTATTAGTATGACTAAAGATATCTTTTTTCCTCAGTGGATTAATGTCTGGTTGACTGTATAATTTAGTGTAAAAGTTGGTAGCTATATTTATAATCTCTGTTCGGGATTTACATTTATTAGTGCCGGCCTGTAGTGATGGGATCCAGATTTTTAATTTATTTAATTCTTGTTGACCTTTTTTAGCAGATCTTGATTTTTCAAGGTGCTTTTGTATTATGTTTGTCCTATAGATATCGTAGCATTTTCTTATTTCTTTGTTAGTTAGTTTATAAAGTGATTTTAATTTTTCCCTGTCTATTTTATTCAATTTAGATTTATTTTGTAGTTTGCTCCTTTCTTTTATAAGTTCTAGCACTTCCACTGACAAGATTCTGTTCTTTTTTGGCCTTTTTATTCCTTTCAAACTTTCCTTTATACATTTTACGATTTTTTCGTAGTAATCTTCTAGTTTATAATTACTATATGTCGTAATAAGTTCTGGTATGTAGCTCTTAAGGTTTTTGAGGTATATTTCTTGTTCGGCTATACTTTTTAGGTTTGTTGACACACTACAGAAATTGCGTCTATTTTTCTTTGTTGATTTTAGGTGAATTGTAGTTCTTAATAATCTGTGGTCTGATCCAAAAGAAAAAGATGATAGTACTTCGTATTTAGAAACTATGTTAGGAATCGTGGTCATAATATAATCTATTTCATTTCTGGTATTCCTATCTGGAGAGATCCATGTCCATCGATTTTTAGGTTTTAAATTGAACATTGTATTAATAATTTTTAGGTTGTACTCTTGTGCATATTGAATGAGTCTCTCTCCTCGCATACTCCTGATACCATGTCCATACTTGCCGGTAGCGGAACATTCATACTTCTTGGTAGTCCCTATTTGTGCGTTAAAATCTCCCATAGAAATTATATATTTCGTACAGGTTGAGTCATGCGCTTTCTCCAGGTCGTCGTAAAAGTTATCTATATCTTCTTGCGACGAGTTTTCAGTTGGGGCATATGCCTGGATAATTGCGAGACGTATCTTTTCTAGCACGATTTCTAGTATGCACACTCTCTCAGATATACCTGTGAATGATATGATATTTTCTTTGTGTATCTTCTTGATTAGGAAGCCTACCCCGTGCAGTCCTTTGGTTTGGCCTATGTGGTACATAATGTATTTGTCATCTTCGATTATCTTTTCACCAAAGCGGCGGACTTCGCACAGTCCTATTACATCGTGGTTGATGCCTTGTAACGCTGCCTTAAGCTCTATAAATTTTAATTCGGAAGCTAATGATTTTACATTGAAGGTGCAGATATTGAAGGTGCTGAAGGTATTGTTCTTTAAAGTGGTTTCCCTTAGTGGGTTTTGGTCTAACTCTCCCGCGGTGACCGGCCGTATTGGGAGATGATATGTGGGTGGGAGTTCTAGTGTTGATTGCTATTTTGCATTATCCTTGGAAGTATTTGTTTGGTTTTGAGGTGCTTCTTTCTGGGCGAATACTAGTTTGGGCGTCTGTGTTATGTAGCTTTTCATGTTCCTCGCTTTGGTTTTCTTCAAAGGTTGTTTTTCAACGTGTTGAGTTTCTTGGCTAGCAGTCATAGGTGTCTCCGGGGATTCGGAAAGGTATCTCTTGTTTGGTTGATTGCGGGGAGAATGTTTTTTATTCAGTATGATAAGTTTGTCATATCTTATAATTGCTCTATTTCCTGCTTCTTTTTCCCTCTCTAACTGGGCTTGCAACTCTTTGCGCTTTTTTAAGATTTCAATTGGATAGTCTTCTTTTATGTAGTATGCGGTTTTTTGTAAACAATATTTGTCTTTCTGAATTTTTAGTTTTAATCCTAATGTGTTGAACGTTATTACTACTGGTCTGGTCTTCTCTCCCTTTTTTCCCAACCTACGTACTGCTTCAATGCTGTTAGTTTCGCAGGATACTTTAAAATTTGTATTTATTATGCTGATTATCATTTCTTCAAGTTCGTGGTATGAGTTTTCGCGCTCTTCTACACCAAACATGACCAAGTTTTTGCGTCTAGACTGTCTTTCTAAGTTGTTCATCTTTCTATTTTGTTCTTCAATTTTTTGTTCTAAAAGCTCGTTTTTAAGTTCTAAGCTGCTTAACTTCTCGGTAAGGCTGTTAACTATTATGTTTTTGATGTCTTCCTTCATCTTTACCATATCTTCTTTTTGTTTTTTTATGTCTTGTTGCAAATTCAAGAACATGTCTTTTATTTCTTCCATAATTTTAATTTTTTTATTTTATTTTACTGAACTCTGTTGGAAACGTACAGTACTTTTTCTTCCACTCAATTGAATTTATCGATGCTTGTTAAGTAGTGTCGTTGTTTGTCACTAGATGGCAAATTAGAATTTAACAAAGGGTTTGTCTCAGTTGTTTTGACACTTATCTATACTAATATATAAATCTACAGTGGTTTTTACGGATGTTCCGTTATAACTACTGAACCATGCATCCGATTGACTTGAAACTTGGTATCCATGTAGAAAATACATGTACTTAATGGATAGGCTAATATTTATATGAGTGTTGGTCTCCTACACCAGTTGCGGGGGCGTTAATGATGAGAATCCTTGTGGGGGTGAGAAATAATAATGTTAATTTGAAATGCCCAGCGAAGCGGACGGGTACAGCTAGTTTACAAAATACAGCAGAGACACGTAGCGCGCGCGGTATTTCAACCATCACACTTTCTTCTTTTTGTGGATGTCGCCACGCGATCTCGCTCGCACGCGTCGGTAGGTAATGTGCGGGAGAGGGATGGGACAGGATTTGCAAACCAAATTAAATGTTACTATCTTCAGAAACCAAAAACTAACAGTTGCAAATCAGCGCAACCAATGTGTTACATTTAAACATAAGGGTTAACAATAAAAGATATTAGCCTAACTCTTTCACCCTTTGTAAATGTAATATGGCAATTAAAATTTTACCAAGAAAGCTAAATCAAGCTTTCAACCGTCTCTCTGTCTTCCATCAAAAGCCAAGTTCTAAGATGAACCTAATTATTTTAAATCACTAACGAAAGATAAATTTTACACGTGTTCATATAGGTAAGTCTGAGTTAAATATCTGTGTAGAACTTGTTAAGGCTTGTTTGACGATTTTGTTAAAATTCGCTACCCAAATTACGAAGTCTAATTGATAAGAGAGGGAAATTATTTTCTTGAACACAGTTAGTGAGTTCAGAGATTATTTCGTTAAAATATTTGACTTGCTTAGCTTAGGCGAGTGCTCCGATTTGAATTGGTTAATAGTTTTAAACACAAATTTTAAAATATGCTGAGATTTTATTTGCCATATTTTAGGCCAATACAGTGGTATTTTATTCATTCGGCTACTAGAAAAATATTCGAAATCATCATTATCCTGCCCTTCTCCCGGTCACCTGGGGTCGGCGCAACATGTTTTCTCCTTCCATACTCTTCTATCATATACCATTTCTTCGCTCACTCCCCTCTTATCAATATCGTCTTTCACGCAATCCATCCATTTCCTCTTAGGTCTACCTCTTCCTCTATATCCTTCCACATTCATAGTTAACATTATCTTACCAGCCTCATTTTCATCTCGTCTCATCACATGTCCATACCATCCCAAACGCGCACTTCTCAGCTTCTCTGTCACAGGTGCCACTTTCAGACTTCCTCTAATACATTCATTCCGTATTCTATCCATTCTCGTTACTCCACATATCCATCGCAAAATTCGCATCTCTGCTGCATTCAATCGCCTTTCATATAAAAATATAGAAAAATAGAAAAATATTCGAAATATCCAATAATAAATAGAATTTACTTCGTTGTTACAAATTTTCTCTATTTTTGAATATTGTTCGACATTATAATTATTTCGGTATCATAGTATTCTTTGCCAACGGTATATATAGCTCGATGGTATACTACTCCAGCTCAATTATCTAATATATAAAATTCTCGTGTCACAGTTTTCGTTGCCATACTCCTCCGAAACGGCTTGACCGATTTTGATGAAATTTTTTGTGCTTATCCGGTATCTATGAGAATCGGCCAACATCTATTTTTCATCCCCCTAAATGTTAGGGGTAGTCCACCCCTAAATTTTTTATTTATTTTTAGACAAAATTTTTAATTTCTATTTTTTTATGATACAACATACAAAAATACATACAATCCTCAATTTTCACCCTTCTACGATCAACCCTTATTTTTTATTTGCTAATGAAAAACTACATTTTTTTGTAAGAATTTTGTTTTTATTTTGTCATGACTTAGAATAAAAAAAATCATATTACTCTGAAATTTTCACCCCTCTACGATCAACCCCTATTTTTTATTTGTTAATCATAAATTTTAAATTTTTTGGCAAGAATTTATTTTTTATTTTGTCATAACTTAAAATAAAAAAAAATATATATTACTCTCAATTTTCACTCTTATACGGTCAACCCCTATTTTTCCATCCCGATTTTAATTTTTTTTATTCTATGCACAGATCCGCAATAAGGTTGCAAGATGGCAATCAAATATTATAATTGTAGTACGATAAATTCTTATTCAGAGTTTATAATTTCAAGTTCCTTTAATTATGATTTTTTTTTAAATTCAATCGATCAGTTATCCCCGCCAGGTGTCGCCTCTCATCCAGCAAACATCACGTAGTAGGGATGAGGACGAAGCCGGTCTCCTGTCTTACTCACTATACATTTTTCAGCCATGTTTCTTTGGTTTTATTTGTGTATCAATCGTAGCTTGCCAGCCATGTTTTTTTGGTTTTATTTGTGTATCAATAGTATGTTCAGTAGGTCTGAGAATCGGCTACTATCTATATTTCATACCCCTAAGTGATAAGGGCTGTCCACCCCAAACATTTTTTATTTTTTATTTTTTTTCTTGGTTATAATGAGGTATAGTCCCCGGCACGTAACTTGGCAAGAGTCGCTAGATGCGCAGAAGTCGTTTTTTAGGTCTCTTTGGTTGTCAAGCGGGACGCGGGGAAAGACGTAGCACCGTTCCGAGCGCGCGATTGGTAAGTCAGTCGACCCTCCCCTCCCGCACCGCGTCCACGTTCCGTTCGCTCCCGGTTACACATGCGCCTACTAAAGTTGTAGGAACCCTTTGTTTATATTGAGTTTTTGTTACGAGTTGTTATTATTGTTTTAAATTTAGTTTTTGTTAAGAGTGTTATTGTTTTAAATTTGCTTGCAAATACCAATGACCATAATTATAGTCGATTCAGTCACTGAGCGTTTTATTATTTACGCCAGTGACGACAGCGACTCTTCGTTATGTCGACGATGAGGAGACAACTCCTTCCACCAGCTCAGGTGCTACCATAAATTTAATCCAAGGGGTAGCACTATTAGAAAATGATAGTGACGACGGCGACACATAATTTTTAATATTAAGTATATTTTTTTAAATAAATTTTTTAACTTTTAAATGTATTTTATTTATAACACCTAATACACTTCACGAATTCCTCTCTTTTCTTTAACTTTCTTCTAAACACACAGGCTTAAAAATAAATTATGGCAAATAAAAATTTTTATAAAATAAAATTAACATATATGCGGGCAATAAAAGTGACCATTTTTTTGTTGCAATGTACACTATGCGCGACATTACCCCCACTACACCAAGACCTTGCCAAATTACGTGCCGCTTACTATATTATGTGGTTGAATGAGGTTTGTGAGAATTTTATATATTAGACTAGAATTTCCCTAGAAATCTTATTTAAGGCAACACAACGTTTGCCGGGTCAGCTAGTATTTATATATAAATGTCAAAGATTGTTATTAGTTTGTTAGCTAAACGAAACGCAGCACGATTCCCGAGAGATGGCAGCACGATTGCGGTATCGTCGGAACTCGGCTAACTTCGTGTTACGACAGAGCCTAGCCGATGGAGGCGCATAAACGTCATTACACACTTACCAATCTGCCATGTTGAACAGCGGTGCCTCCGTCCTAAGAACTGTCATTCGTTTTCGTTTGCTAACGTCACGTGAAGATTTCTAAATTGTTCTAAGACTACAAACGTGATTGGTGTACTCAATATTTCTCCTATTTCGATCACTCCATTCGCCCCTACAATGTCTGACGATGGTTTTAATAATTGTGGCTTCTCCGACATATTATTAAATATATTTATAATTATTACAATACCAGCTGACCCGGCAAACTTCTTAGTGCCTCAATGGATAAATAAAAGACAAAGGAAAACAAAATTGTTATTTTTATTTAATTCCTAGCATTTTCATATTTATTTACCTTCTCTGGACTTCCACAAATAATTCAAGACCAAAATTAGCCAAATCGGTCCAGCCGTTCTCGAGTTTTAGCGAGACTAACAAACAGCAATTCATTTATATATATATATACACAAATATAGCGGGGTATTTTTCTTCAAATTATTTCAAGTAAAGCTTACCGGCAGTAAATACTGATCATCACAATGCAAGGCAGTATAAATGATATACAGCTTGAAACGACCGCGTACGTCGGTGTGAGCACTAACGCGCAGGTCGGGTACTTAGGGGGTCTTTGTGTCGCTAAAGCCTCCTCGTCGGGTCGGTGAAGTCCCAGAGAAATTGGCAGAAAGCTAACTAGGGCAGCTAATAGCCATATCATTGCGATTGTCGTGATCGCAACACGACGCGTCACCCAGCGGCCGTATCTGTTGACAAATAAAAAAATTAGCAACTAAAGCTTAGCTTAAATTGTAGATGGCTACAAAGATAGGCCCAGATACAGCCCACTGAGTTTCTCGCCGGATCTTCTCAGTGATGATTTTCCGATTCGGTGGTAGATTCTACGAAGCACTGCTCTCGCTAGGGCCAGTATTGGCTACACCTTCTGTTTGAGCGCCGTAAGCTCACCTACACGCTAGGGTAACTCTGATATAGCCTATCAAGGCTATCAGCTTAGGAAAAAAAGGAGTTCATTTAATTATTAAAACTAAAATCGAGTATGTGACAATGCATGTCCCTCAATTTCCTTTTTAGGACAAAACTTGTTCAAAGCAAACAAACACATAAAACATTTTTTTACCTAACTAAAGCTAATTTTAAATGATCAGAGAAATATTACTCATACGGTATTTATAAAAAAATTGTATCATTTCTAGTTAATAGTGAATAAAATGTATATATTTATTACTACATAATAATATGGATAATGGATAATCTAAACCCGATATTTCAATATTAGTTTAGAAGCAGTTGCAATTAAATTATATGTTATGAAATTCATGTGTGTCAAATGATTTGAATAAAAACCGAAATTGTTTCCGTTTTGTAATAGAAATACTCCAAACATTGTCCTGAAATATCCATGTTTCGTCTTTGAAAGCCAAATATGTAATATAGAATGAAAATCACACATTTACACATAGCTTAAACATCAATTACGATGTTTAAAACACGAGTGAAAGTTATATCATAAGTTATACTTAAAGCCGGTCCCTATCTCAAATAACCGTCAGCTTAATCCAACTTGTCATCAGAAAATAAACATACAAAAGTCAACCTATTCAACAATGTACATATATAAATAAGTAGTGTAATAAGTCATATTCTGTCACCTCATTATGGTAAAAAAAATGTCGGCAAACAGGTGGATCGATTAAACTGAAGATTAACATCATTCATTACGTTGATAATAATAATTTGAATACATTTTATATACATATTTATACTCTACAGGTCTTGTTGAGAAAATATTAGGTTGTCAAAACGCCATTTAAATATCAGTGTGTGGTTTCCGCTATGAGAGGCGCGGTTAGCGATAAAATGAAAGACCCACATAGTCATAATTATGTATAATAGAAATAATGCGTTCATCTTAGGCATTTTAGGTCCGCCGGTCCGGCGTTCCGAGGTGGAGGGTGATGGGAGAGATGTGCTCTGCACTAAACGCTTCACTCCCCCCCTTTGCCTTTTAATGAGTTCTGTCTCATGAGAGGCTCGGACGTGGGTTGTTGAGCGACAGGAAGTTTTGTCGGTTCGACTCTGACATACCCCGCCCACGATTCCGGCGATTTCCTCCTGACCAAAAAAAAAAAGAGGCATTTTAGGTAAGCATTTTAAACGGGTTCCAAAAGCGCTTATCTGAATTTCACGAACTACCTTCTATTCTGCTTTCCTTTATCCTATTGCGTTTCTGATTGACGAAATTCAAGGAAGTATTTTTCATGAATTGATTTCTCATTTTTCGAGGTAGCTGTCTAAAATCACTGGTAAAATTCCTCTTTTTTTTCTCTACCTACTACTTTATTGGCTGGCAGATAAGAGGCTATTCCAGCTACGCGCGGACGGGTAGGTGAACTCACGGACTCAACCTGAGAGAATTTGTTCTACGTCGTAATCGACGAGTTCGACGAGGACGGTGACCGTTGCTTGAGGGTGCTAAAAGCATCGGAAGGAAATCCGAGGGTGGGGGATCCTACAAGACATGCCTCGGGCGACAGCGGCTTTGCATTGCCCCGTCGCGGTCGCATAACTAATTAGCGGCGGTCGCGATATGCGGCTTTTCGTGTTGTAGTGTAGATAATATACAATGTTGCACATTGCAATATGACGTGTATGTATGTGCGATGCTCCTGCGAGGGCAGTCTTTCGCCTACCACCAGCTAAGGAAGGTGTGCAATAGATGCCTAATATGTCATCAGTATTTTATTGAAGAACCCAACCAAAATGTTACTAAAGTGTCTCCCTCTTTGCCAAAGTATCGATAGGTACTAGCTTTAGGTCGTCATGAACATCTAGATTTCTCACATACCGCGGTGCTCCGACGGCTATCCTGCAGTAACGGGATTGGATGACCTGGAGAGAGTCAATATGTGTACAGGCCGCGTGAACGAACACTACACTTCCATAAGTCATGACAGAGAAATTTCCCCAAGAATCACATTGCTATTAAATTATAATAAATACTGAGCCTTAGACGTACCATATAGATATATTTGAAATGTGGCGCTGTTTAGTAATAGGTAGATGGAAGGGTTATTTATGACCTTATTGCGTATGCTACGAGGTGAATTTCCAACGAACTGAAATATTGTTAAGTGGTCAACATAGATAAGGGTGGATTTTGGAGCGTTATATTTGTTTACTTCGTTCAGTCTTACTTATTCAGTCAAATGAACACTTTTTAGATCGTCACCGCATCGGAATTTTCATGGCTCAACAGCGTCGATATTATAAAAACATCAAGTCACTACTATAATTTTTTTATTGCCCTTATAGGCAGATGAGCATACGGCCCACCTGATGGTGAGTTTACCGTCGCCCTTGGATTTCAGCAATGCCAGGGGCAGAGGCAAGCCCCTACCTACCGGGCCAATTAGGTCTATTTTAGTTTTTTTGTCGGAATCTAGCGGCAACTACGTCAAATAATTCTTTACTTGCTGTTTAAATTTTCTTAAAGTTAATCATTTCCAGAAGTCAATGACTCGTCGCACGGGCATGTACCGGGAAACAATCATATGTTTCGGTTTGAAGGATGGGGTAATACGTTGTATAAGACAATTCTGACTTTGAGCTCATCTCTCAAGGTGACCGCTAATTTATGTTTTAGTGTCAATATATCACAGGGCGTCTTTTGACTTTTCGGGGTTAAAGACAGAGAGAAGATCATTTACTGAGCTGGTGAAATTGATAGACCTACGTTTACGTGTTTACATGCAAACCTATTTTTAAAATATAGTCAGCGGGCGTCAGGCATTTGACAAATATCTTATGCTCTATAATACTCTAAGCCCGCTACAGACTTATGGCCTAAAAAAGGATTTCGGCAAGCTACTGACCATTCTTGAGTTTTTGTTTAAATTGTATTAAAAAAGAAATGTTTTTTATTTTATTTTTTTACGACAAAATAATACACTTCACGCCAACGGTGTATTAAGAATCTCCCTGTCTTGTAAAATGTTTTATGGCTCGCCTATTAGGGATATGAAAATTCATTGAATTCCACCCTAAGCAAGATGGATATTCGCGGTCTGACGCTCCCTCAATGACGAATAACAAAGGATTCTCCATGTCAGTTTTATGTTATTATCTTGACAACGCGATCCTTCAATCCGACGACTGCCTTAAGAGAGCTTTAAGAGTTATTCTACCGAAATTGAAAATGATTGTTGAATTTGTGAGTGGCTCGTTGAGATGTGAGTTCGTATTCTGATTCTCGTATTAGCTGCTAGGTGAGTTTTATTTAAATGAAATTCGATCTTCTTCTTTTTTATTTCGCTTGACTATCGCATGGGAATAGCTTTTCGAAATGTTAATTTTACACCTGAAGGTCATGTGATGCATGCATGCTTGCTGTATGATAAACTTTTTCAAGATGAACTCTGTGATACCCTTCCACTATCACTATCACATACAGTAAAACATACAGAGCACCAAAGCCCGTCGATTGATCCAAATGTTCCACGCAAATTTAACTCAAACAAACAAAGGTCATACTTAAATTTTGACATATCAGTTACAGTTACTAAATTATCGGAACTGGTTTGAAATAGTTTTTACCCCTGTGACTTTACCACATCAAAATTTGAAGCGGACCTAATTATTTCTTTCCTATTCGGATTTTAGTCCCAATTTTTTAATTTTAAACTACTCTCAGACAATAGACATTAGAATTTTCAGGTGACCATATAGCGTCAAGTCTGTTTAAGGTCAATATATTCCGAGGTAAGCCATAGAGTGGACGCCCGAGGCAAGCTAAAAGTCCAGGTCTCAAACAGACCTGGTAGCGCACTGTAGTAGCGGAGATAAAGATAATTGGGCTAGCTTGGCCCGAAGTAAAGCGCATAGTCGAAGAACGATCGCGATGGCAAAATACTTGTGGTGAAACCTTTTATTCCATCACGCGCATGTGCATCTAAAAAATCCAGGAGGCCATGATCGCCGCCATAAGAAAAAAGATTGCACATTTTTACATAAAATAAACATTTTATTATTTGTTCTTTTCTATTACCCTCTGCTGGGGTGTAGGGCTCGAATCAAATCTTTCCATTTACATCGGTCTTGGGCAGTCTGTTCTAACTCCTCCCACGTCATGCCCAAGACCCCTAGCTCTTGCTCCACCGAGCGACTCCAAGTTGTTCTGGGGCGGCCTCTCTTCCTTTTGCCAGACACTTTCCAGGTCAGTGCTCTCTTTGATAGGTGGCTTCCTCATTCGCTTTTATTCAAGCGTCCTAAATACTGTTAAAGCCCAGTACGCCACCCGGGGTCTCAGAGTTTAAACTTGGACAATTCCAAAAACATCTAAATATACACACATAACTTTACTAAGCAAATAGTGAGAAAAGTTGAATCATCAAGTCTACAATCTCAGCTAGATTTGTTTCAGTTGCTAGAGACCGAACCAAAGACGTAAATCCTAAATGATTGAGAAGTACGATTTATCTAATTAATACCTCGTAGCCAAACGTATTATAAAACCAGTTGGTAAAAATAATTTGAAACCCTCAACAATATGTAATCGACTTTGGCTTTATTAATCATTGAGTATTTGGCAAACGCTATCTTAATTACCATTATCCGCAAATACAAATATTCATTTACGATACCTATCAACGGTCGACAACAGCGGTTCCAATTCATTCACAATGGCCAAGAGGATATCCGGTATTAAACGACAAATTAATTTGCATGCTAAATGCGATATCGATTTCATATGCTGCATTATTTGACTGAAATTACCGTGAATGGTTTTCGTTTATGTGTTTTTTATGAATCTGAATCTGAATCACAGACTGATGAGTACAACCGGTCTTAAATGACCTAATGGCCTGAAGTGAATGACTGAAAACCAGCATCTGATCTAACTAACGGAGTTGAATAGCCTGATGATATTCCAAAGTTCGCGCAAATATTTATTGAAGAAAATAATTAATATACCGTAAAATAACTCAACAAAGAATTTTAATGTTAAGCTTCTATTTATTTATGAATTTTCAACCACGTCTGTGGAAATAAATTACATGAAGCTGTCGTATCGTGTCTTTGTAAACAAAGTCTTTGTAATTCATAAAGCTATTATTATTATTATTAGCACTGGACCAAATCAAAACAGGAATTTACCTAAATTTCCTCAATCTGTCTGTTTGTTTGTACTAAGCTCCTGCAGCTAAAATTTAAATTAAGGGGCTACAAATTAGTCTACTCGATAACCCAACACTTGTAGATACTACTTTTAAAAAAGGATCAAAGGAAAATAGTCGACGCAAATCGAAGGTCACAAAGGTGTATATTAAAATTAACGGTCGAAAAACTGTATAACTATTCTGAAAATGACACCAGGGTCGCAAAACCAGTGGCATTCTCCCAATTCCACTCCCATCAACACGATGAATCCAGCACACGCACTGTGATTCCATGGATTGCTAAGTTATTCATCTCTCAACCTGGCACTTTGAATCTAAAGCAATGACGTATCCAAATTCAATTTAGTATTTCATATAAAACATTTTTCACGTAACCATCATGACCTAATGACCGAGCAGTGTGTTACCGAGGCTCGAAATCTATAAAAACGGCCAAAAACGCTGATCTCTCGACGATATCTCGATACTAAATTATACGACCGCAGGTTACAGTCAGAGGTTTATTGTTTTATTTTATTTGATCTACTAGTGTCTTATTTTATTGATAGTAAACAGTCTTGACCAAATTTATTGGGCGGTCAGAAGCTCATCATTTATTTGTAAGGGCTACAAAAAATGCGTGAACACTATTAAGTCGGAATGACATTGAAGGTACATCAAGCTCTAATCAAATTAGCTTGTTATACAAATTGTTTAATAAATAATTCCCAAAAGCGAAAGTAGGTAATAAACAAGTAGAGTAAGTAGATAAACTATTAGCTTAAAGCCGTTATTAACATACAGGTATTTCACTCTTTATAGTGAGCGCAAGTGTTGACCACGACCACTCTGCCAACTCCATGCAGGGTAAAGCCAAATTGCTTAGTAAGCACGTACCTTACTACAAAAAATGACCCAGAAATAGTTGTGACTTAAAATTTAAGAGGTTTGATGTACTCGTATCGAATCATGCAAATATAGCATATATATAGCAAATATGCATCTAACACGTGCTCATGTATCATGATGAATGACGCAAGATAAATGGACAGCATCGTGTAGTAAAAAAGATACTTATACAAAACATTGCTGGCGGTACTGAGTTCTTTGAGTGGATACCACAATTTTGTCCGTTTCAAACGTTCACAGACTTCACTTTGAAGATTAGTCCTGACACAATTCAACAAAGACTTCGAACTCGTTCTTCGACTTCTTAAGATGAGTGTTTTCATTTATGCTGTAATGTCCGCAGATTGCGGAACTAGATTAACTGTTGAGAAGTGTTTTGAGATTGTAGAGGAATAAAATAAACATTCACATGAAATTTATAACCTACCATAATTTCACTAAACTAGTTCTAGTCAGAGAGAATAAAACTATTCCTTTTTAATGAATATCATTCACGAAAGTCAGATCGATATTAAAAATAATGTGAAATGTAAATGACTCAATAGTGGAGCTAATTAAAGTGGGACTAGTGACGATGTTTTTTTTTTTTTCAATCAGTTCTCGTTGGAGAGAGGAGTTATTTAAGCTTCAAAATCAGCCAACTTCAAAGGAAGAATAATTTCTAGTAGGTCCAATGGTATCGTTTAATAAAATTATCTAATTTATCATTAACAAGAGCTGCCAAGAAAGACTTTTTAATATATTTTTTTTGAATACGATAAATAAATAATTATTTCCAAAATTATGAAAAACCGATCCACAAACATAACAACGGTACTACCGTTAGTAGCTAGTTCATTGCCCTGGCAGGTAGACGAGTATATACGGTCCACCTGATGACGAGTGGTTATCGTTGTCTATGGACGTCAGCAATGGGGCAAAGGGGCAGAGCAAATCTGCTTCCTACCATTAAAAGTTAACTGTTAATTAATAAGCTGTCACTGGTTTTCGGTAGTTAAGCATTAATGTAGAAATGTTATAGCTATAAAATTTAATATTACATCATAAGCGTCCAGCATCATTGCTCACCATAATATAGCATCATTCTATTCATCGAATAATAAAAAAAAACCATTTTACGAGTACCATATAACACACCATTTTGTAGTGAACATGCTATTGCTATCAGTGAAGAGCAGAGTCCAAAGGAAATCCGAGTTGAAGTACAAAATTTAAGGCGATTAAACATTCGTCTTGGCTCCCGAGCTTAAAGTTAAAACAAGGATTTAGCCGGTCTCAAAAGACTTAAATTTTGCTGTACTCAGCACTCAGATCTCTTTGATGTCTTAAGAGAGATGTTTTTATTAATAAATAGAGTTTTAGGTGAAGTGTTTGTGATAGGATGGTGTTTGTGTTTCTACATTAAACTCCAGTTTAGCTAAAGATTATTGTATCAATTTAGTCAATTCTGGCCACAAGCTTTTAGAGTCTAATCAGTTTTGTAAGTTAGATAACTTATTATTGAAGTGATACTAAAGCAATCATGGATTTATGGGTCGAGGTCGTGCTCGGATGGGCCAATGTCTATCTATTCTATAATAGCATTTTTTCTTACCTATTTGCTGGTAGCATTACTGGTAGCTACCTATTCACTGGTGGTAGGACCTCTTGTGAGCCCGCGCAGGTAGGTACCACCACCCTGCCTATTTCTGCCGTGAAGCAGTAATGCGTTTCGGTTTGAAGAGCGGGGCAGCCGTTGTAACTATATTTAAGACCTTAGAACTGATATCTCAAGGTGGGTGGCGCATTTACGTCGTAAATGTCTATGAGCTCCAGTAACCACTTAACACCAGGTGGGCTGTGAGCTCATCCACCCACCTAAGCACTAAAAAAAAAAGCATAAGAAGCTATTTCAGCTACACCGGACGGGTAGGTGAGATTACGGGCTCAACCTGGGAGAATTTGCTAACGCTAACCCTAGCAAGAGCAGTGCTTCACAGGATCTACCACCGAATCGGAATCACGGCCCACTGAGAAGATCCGGTGAAACTCAGTAGGCTATGCCTATGGGTTAGTTCATTCGTTGAACTCTTCGTCATAATCGACGAGTTTGACGAAGACGATGATCGGTAATAATCCTAAATGATAAATGCGCGCTTAGAAAAGTTGTTGTGAAAAGTTGTTTAATAAAGTTACTAGGTAGGTGTGGGAGATTATGGATTTTATTCGCTCATTTTCCGTGAAACACAGACTGGAACGGACATTAACTGTTTGATTTCGGCATTGATTTTTTCATTTTACAAATTCTGATGTTTCCAATCGTTTACAGATTTCAAGGTCCCAGACAATTAAACTGATGAAACCCTAAAAAAGCAGTTCTAACAAATGTAAGTTACTAAAGTTTCACTTACCTTAGCGGATCTTTGATGTGAATGTATCGATCTAGTGAGATCGCACACAGATTCAATATGGAAGCAGTTGAGCACATGACGTCGCACGCCACCCATGTATCGCAAAATTGCTCGCCGAATACCCAATACCTAAAGAAATAATGAATCACCATATTAATTTGCAAAGCATACAATTAATATATTATTTGTAATTTTTTTTTTACCACAGGTCTGTTTCTAGCATTTTTGCAAGAAGTAGTAACTCTGTATTAGCAGAATAATTCGAACACTAAACCCACCATGATACGTGAGATTAAGATGTCAATTGTACCGGTAAACCTTTGACTCATGTTTGAAACTAGAATTCTAAACTATTTTTCTATTCTAGCCCAGAGACGTCCACTGCAGGACATAACCTTCAGCGGATCCCCGCGAACCTCAATAGGTGGCCGGTCCATCTTGTGAGAGGCCTACCCACGCTACAAATTCTATAACTACTTCACGACAAATCTATAATTTAGAATTGGCAGTATGGCGGCAATCTCCCGATTGGCACAATTACCCCTCACCAACAATTCCATTTTCATGTCGTTAACAATATACTATCATCACTCGTGAATACTCCTAAGTTATTGTGGAGATTAGAATAATGAAAGTATTCTTAGTTTTAAACCTGGGTCCGCTTTCGTGTATGAACGTAAAATATACATCTACTACATAATATAAGCACACTTAAATTAGCAACTTTAAATAATCAAGAGGCCTTTCAGGATAATCTCAAAACATAGATTAAGACATCGCTAAGTTGTATAATGTGAATTCCAAATTCAAGATATTTATCCTTCCGATTATGTAACTCAAGGACAGACCAGAAGGTAATGTGACATAATATAAGGGACCGATAAAAGGCCAAAAATCACAGATTTAACGGAGGAAATTCTTTATACGAACACATTTGGCATTTAGCGAAATTGTGATAAACTGGAATAAAAAGGTCAGATCTTTTTACGAGTAAACTAAATTTACTTTTACAGCTATATTCGAGTCGTATAAAGTTTCGTGTAGTTTAGAGCAAATAGGTATTTCAATTTTCAGTTTAAATCAGAAGTCACTCGTAAAAAAATTAAAAATCTGGCCAGATTGGACTCACTGAAACTCATAGGAATTTGTATTTCCAAATATAACGCTGTAAAAAGTATCGGGAATGGACGATTTGTTTGTTGATTGACGATAGCTTGAATATTATTGTTTTTTTTTGTTGATGTTAGATTGGCATAGCTGTTTTCCATTTTGGCGCAGAGTTTGAGTTGCATCTGTTATTTGGCTTATATATTGTAGTAGTACTGTTTTTAGTTATAACATATTATTATCTAGCGTGAATTGCGTTTTTCGTAATGGATAAAAACGAACAAAGCTTTTGTCTTAAATTTTGCATCGCCAATGTAATGTCGGAGTCACTGAAAATGCTACAGCAGACTTACAATGAATCTATTTTATAAAAAACACGTGCTTATGAATGTTACAAAGCGAAGCTTTTGAACAAAAGCCGTCATAACGTGATGGAAGATTTTTCTCGCTCTAGTAAGTAAGCCATTGATATCTGCCATTGAAGTTAACATTACAAAAGCGAAGGATATAGTGACTGAAAATCTTGGGTCAAGTTTGAAAGATATAGCAGTCAAACTTTTTTGTTTCGCGAGAATCCTCGGAGGAAGGTCATACGGTAAATAAAGAATATTATTTGACCGTTACGCGGCGTTTAAGAGGCCAAATTCGACAAAAAGGTCAAATTTGTGGAAACAAAATTTTTCGATTTTGCACCACGATAATGCGTCTTAGAAGACCATTATTATTGTGAACGATTTTTTTAGAGAAATCTCAACAATTACCTACGAGCAACATTTTTATTGATCAGATATGGCTTCAGCTGACTTCTCTCTTTTCCTAAACTTAAATTACGATTTAGTAACACCTGTTTTTACTCGGTTGGAGACATAAAGGAGGATTCACGGCGAGAATACAATTCAATTTTGGAAAAAGCGTTTAAAAAATATTTTGATGACTGGATTATTCATAACTATTATCACCACTACTATCACTACATCACTAACATTTTGTGTATTATTGACCTTTTCCCGGTACTTTCTTTACAGAGTAGTATGTATAGACTATCAACATGTTCGTTATAATTTAGCTTAAAATGAAGACAATTTCATTACTTACCCTAATAAATCATTGACTCCAGCAAATGTCATAACGGCAGCAGCAACCAACATGTCAGCTATCGCCAAGGATGCCAGGAACAGATTCCCGATCCTCCGCAGGCCCCGGTCTGTGTAGATAGCTATGCAGACCAGAATATTCCCAGCCACACTCAGAAATATGAGCAGTGATAAGAATATACCTTTGAAGGAGAAAAAAAAACAGTTAGAGACAGAGAAAATGGGCTCGGTGCAACAAAGAGGCGGTTATCACAAACTATTATTTATTTATTCCTTGGGTAAACCTTTTCGCGACCCAGTTGGCGTCAAGTGGTAACCAAACATCGGAACCTGAATACATATTCAGAAATATGAGCAGTAATAGGAATATATACCTTTGAAGGAAACTAAGCAGTTAGATACAGAAAATTGACTCGGTGGAACAAAGAAGCGATTATCACAAACTATTATTTATTTATTCCTTGGGTAAGCCTTTTCACGGCCCAGTTGGCGTCAAGTGTCTACCAAACATCACAACGTGGAACCCGCCACGCACTTTTTTATTATTTCTTAGCTGGGTGGACGAACTCACGGCCTAGCTGATGTTAAGTAGTTACCGGAGCACGTAAAAGTCGCCATCTACCTTTAGATATGAGTTCTAAGATCTCCGTTTTTAGAGTACAACGGCTGCCCACCATTTAAGCCGAAACGCATTACTGCTTCACGGCAGAAATAGGCAGGGTGGTGGTACCTACCCGTGCAAACTCACAAGACGTCCTACCTCCAATAATTACGCAAATTATAATTTGCGTAGTAAAACCTTGAAGTCAACGTCTCAGTTATACAGTAATCATGCAAATTATATTTTTGCCGGTTTAATTTTTATTTACACGATGCCATTCTTTCATAATGCAAATGATTAGCTATTTACGTAATTAATTCGAAAACCTGGTACGTGCCTTTGGTATTTTAAAACCAAACTAGTCGTATTGCATGGTACTAGTATACCACAGTACTTTGTTCAAGGCACGACGACTGCCTACAAACAATTGTAATTAGATATGCTTTAACAAAAACCGACTTCAAATAGAAAAAAAAAGATATTCCAAAACAAATTAGTATACACTAAAAACAAAAATCATCGAAATTAGTTGGTGTGATATTGAGTTATTCCTCTATTTGTCGCGCACGTACTTAATGCAAATTATAGACTTATATGGTTTTCTCATGGATACCAGCTTTCTAATAAAAAAAGAATCATCAAAATCGATTCACCCAGTCAAAAGTTATGAGTTAACAAATATTTAAAAAAAAATACAGTCGAATTGAGAACTTCCTCCTTTTTCGAAGTCGGTTAATAAAATTCCCATGTTACGCGGGCATTTTTCATATCGTGTAATAGATAAGCATACGTCCACACAATATTTATCAGTTACCGTAGCTCATGAACGCTATTAGGTGAGAATACCACTCATCTTGACAAGTGAGGTGATATATAAAAGCATTTCCTTCGGTTTTCGCGAGACGTAAATATATTTAAAGCACTATTACGTTTTCATTTTTCATTATTTAAATTAATTTTCTTAAAGAATTAACTATGTTTTAATAATTATTTATCGTTATTTTCGAGGCAGAGAAGTCAGACGATAACGAATGGTCATCGATTTTTCTGGATGCTAGTAACGTCAGGAGCATATGACGCAACGACTTTATTTGACAACCCGTTTAAAGCAAGAATCTCTTGAAGCTGGATTCCTGTATCATCTGCAGTTGTAATACATTTTCAAATTAAGAAACATAACAAATAATTTAGATTTTCAAAATTGTTGTGTTTTATCTTGTCACAGATCCAATACGATCTTCGATTTCAGTAATGGTTTTAACAACTTCTGTTTATTTAGTGTTATCTCAATCTAGGCCAGTAAAGTCCGTGTGGTTTGGCACCGCACCAAACTCAGCAAATTATACAAATAGAGGAATGGAGAGGACGAATATTTGTATCTTGATGGGTGTACGAGCTTAGGACCCACCTGATGTTTAATAGTTACCGGAGCCCATTGACATCTACAACGTAAACTTTGCCTCCCAATTTGAGACATGAGTTCTAAGGCATCCGTTTTTACAACATCTCACACTTGAACCCGAAATGCGTTACTTACTGCTTCACGGTAAAACTAGGTACCTATTCGTGTGGACTCACAAGATTTCCGAACACCAGTAATTGCACTAGAGGATATTATTATATTATCCGAGCCTTGTTTTGGAGCAGAACTCTTTTAAGCCGCAACGCGTCAGTTTAGTGCCTTAGAAATAGACCGAATGGTTGACTCCACACCTACTAACTCAAAATGTGGCCTACTACTAATAATTAAGAATTTTCAATATCATCAAGTTGATTTTTACTCCACGATGTTGTTTTTTAAGATGGCGTAGCGCGAGTCCCTTCAACAAGTAGGGATGTTTTATAAATGTCACGTTTATCACGGAGACCAGAATTACGTAGCCCTTTGTTTTTATAGTCATCTTCTTCTTTCATTCACACTCCTATTTGTTATTTTTGGGTCTTCCGCATTCCAATTTCGTTCGGGTAAACAATAATTGTGTAGCCTATTTCGCACTCAAACACTCTTGATAAACAATACTAAGATTATTATACTAAAATTATTGATGTAACTGAACTACGTAAATAAACACTTGAACAATTTAAGGACTGCATTATTAATGATATGATTTGTTTAATTTATCAGAAACGTCTACCTACGCCCATTCATATTGGAGGTACCACCTAGTTTTGGCTCAAACCGACACCGGGGGGACACGCAATAAATTTTACCGTTGAGAATTGGACCTCACGTCTCAAAGTTGGTGCAGCATTCATGTTTTGGTGTAAGCCGTAAGCTGTCATAGCGTGTCCCATTAAAATATATATAATATTAATTTTATTTATTATAAATACGGCTTAAAAACACATCGGTGATAGTAGGATCATAGTATCAGAATTATTTAAAACTTTAATGCTAAAAAATCTGCTTCTAAATAAGATGTTTACGTACGAAAATCATAATGATAAGCTTCTTCATTAATAATTGAATATCATTTGAGATTAGTTCACGAACGTGCTCCGAAAGCGGTGAAGATAAATCGATTCAAGCTACATGTAAGACGTGGTGGAAACGTCAACATGACTCAAAATGATATATGACTCGTGGCAGACATGTTTGCATTCCGACTCCAAGTGAATCTCGACGAGCCAGCGAAATTACATTGCTAAATTGCGGAAAAGTGGATAAGAGTTACCAGCCATCATAGATAAATTGTGTATTACAGAAATATATTTAGTTTATTTAAATTTATTTGCCAGAATTTTTACGCCAGTAGTCTGTGGACTATTTGTACGCGGAGAGCTTACAATGCCCTGCGTGTTCAATATAATAATGCCTATAGGATGATGTTGTCACTGCCACGCTTTTGTAGTGCATCTACAATGTTTGTGACATCTCACGCCGATGACTTCTTTGCAATAATGCGGAAGAGAAGTGCCTCGATATTGCGTCGAGTCAGAGACGGTGGCAACAGTCTTCTGAAAATCATATCGAGCAAGATCGTGGGAATGCTGATTAATAATAGCTTTTGAAAAAAAAAAAAAAATTGTGATATAAAATGTATTAATGATATTTATTTGTTAATTTTTTTAAGTTACTAATATAGATTTTAAGTAATTCTTACTAACAAAATGGTATGGTTTAAAAAAAACTGAAATAAAGTATAAATAAATAAATAAATTAGATAGTTATTCCAACATTTCGAAATAAAAGGCTACTTCTCGGATCTCTAATTCCTATCTTTAGTACTAGTAGTCCGGATATTAACATATTGTTTTATTATGACCTCAACAAATTATGTGCTCGGGCTAAAGAGCGGAAGAGCCGTTACTATGCAACTAACACATATGTCTTAATTGCATAGGTCTTAAGTCTAAAATCTCTCAGCGGGGTATTTTGGAACACCAGCGGCACCGCCTGGGGCTGCCATACCGAGACGGTCGAAATAGAGACGTCGACTATCGTCTCGACGATCCATCGGTTTGGCGTTCTAGGGGTGGCGCCGCGAGCCTGGTTCTAATGTTGACTGCGGGAACCGGGAACCCCCCTACTCTACCTAGGTTCTGACCCCGGGCGGAAATCGGTCGTCGGGTGAGAGAGTGCAAGGGGTCCTTAAACATCCTTGGATCCGCGGTCTGCCCTCAACATCAAATACCACATAACCCGAACGCCCCTTAGGGGATGAAGCCTCGCATGAGGTTTGGTTCTTTGCCCAAAAAAAAAGATCTAAAATCTCTGGATGGGCAGTAGTGTTATGGAATGTCATTATCCGTAGCAATTTGAAGTCGCTCTAACCTAAATCATACGACGTCCGGTCATTTCAAGCGACACTACAGCAGCGCTTAAAGTTGATTCAAACGTGGCAGGTACAAATTTTTGTAAAGAAATACACGTACACGAACGACTTCCACAATGTAGGAATAACGTCGTATAATAAAAATCGTATTAAGCTGCTCTGCCTTTCGCTAAAAATAAAACCATTATGACGCATTTTCACGCACAATATTTTTAAGATATACTTACAGATCAACAAGTTCCAAATAACAGTATTCAGAGCTTTTATCCATTCAATTTTTCTAATGAAATACGTACTTAAAAAATGTTCACTATTGCCTTTCACGGTGAAGGAATAACATCGTGTAATAAGAAGCAAACCCGCAAAATTACAATTTTCATACCTAATTACTGGTGGCAGGACGTCTTGTGGGTCCGCGCAGGTAGGTACCACCACCCCGCTTATTTCTGCCGTGAAGCAGTAATGCGTTTCTATTTGAAGGGTGAGGCAGCCGTTGTAACTATACTGAGACTTTAGAACTTATATCTCAAGGTGGGTGGCGCATTTACGTTGTAGATGACTATGGGCTCCAGTAACCACTTAACACCAGGTGGGCTGTGAGCTCGTCCACTCCTCTATGCAACAAAAAAATGAAAAAAAATTCGAACCAAAATCATTCGAATATTGGAATATCTTCCCCTATTCCTTTCCTTACACTTCCATCTACGTCAGATAAAAGATATGTCGCAAGTATAAAATATCACTTGCTACACTAAATATTAAGAATATATGGAAGTAATCTCGGCCTGTCATTTGCACTGAACGTTTTTCTATGATTAATACTAACTTGAATGGCCGAATTGTTGAAAACAGTCCTCGGAACACACGTCAGCAGAAATTTCCGCAATCGTTGAACCATATTAACATCAAAGGAGTCCACGTCTATAGCTCACATTCGTACCGGTACCGTGGTAAGATATTGTTGTACATTGTAAATGCAACAATACACCATACTTATGTATTTTAATACGCTTTTATTAGCAGTTCAGACGTATGTATTTTTGTAATGGAATCTTTGAACATGATTTTGATCCCCTTCAAAACGTCCGATTAACTCGAAATTTGGTATACTTATTAAGGACCGATGACAAATCAATATCAACATTTTTTTTGAAATAATTTAAATTCAACTAAAAAATTAAAAATACATAATAGTTTAAAAAAACTAACAAGATACGCTTTTATAGAAAATCCGACTAAAAAATAGAAAATAAATTTTAATAAATTTTTAATTTCAACACTTAATCTAGGAAATGTCTATCAAAAATCTTACCAACAAGTAATATGGAGAGTAGCGTGACGGCATCTGGATCGTTGTCTTCATACTCCACCGTCGTGTCGTTAAGCAGGAACTCCACCTAAGTGTACATTAATTTCATCATAAATGATGTTTAAAATACCACATAGCATATTAAATAGGTATATATTATTTAGCTAATGATATTCCTCTTTTGGGATTTGTTCATTCCATTTGGCAAATAGGTTGTTAATTTCACAATGAAACTAAGCTTCAGACTTAAGGTGTATATAGTTCTTAACAGACCAAACCGATCCTTAGACCATGCATGAGTCTCTTCTTTCTCTCCACCTTATCCCACTAGGTGGGGTCGGCACAGCTAATTTTTCTCTTCCATTCTCTTCTATCAGCCGTCATCTCAACACTCACTCCTCTCTCTCTCATATCGTCATTCACACACTCCATTCATGTCTTCTTCGGTCGACCTCTTTCCCCTCTACCTTGCACTATCATTTCCATACATCTCCTAGACCATGCATAAGTCAAAGGAATAAATAATAGCAGCAGCTAGACAGCACATAAGCTTACACGTAAGCTCTGTTTTTGGACAAAAATCATTTTCATTTCTCATGCAATACGGATGATTATTCGCCAGCTACATTCCCATCATCCATATACAACTCAACCGTAGTATATTTTCCAATTAAGTTTTCCTAAATCCGGTCTTATTGTTTTATAAGTTCGACGCGTTGTGTAGCGGTACCGCTATCTTAGAATTGATGAAATGTGGGTAAAATTTGAATTGCACTGAAAGACATTTACAAGATAGAAGGGTAGGTTAAATTCGGACACGTTCCAAATAGCATTCAATGTTGAATGAATTTGATTTATCGAGCTATTTATCCGCTCCGAAACAATTTACATGTATCCGTCACTATAGTATATACATTCTAAACTCAATAGTCGTAAGCCAAACTATTTATTTACAGATGAGATAAAATACAACAGAAGAAGTAGCCCGCATGCAAAAAATTGTTAATGATAAATTTATTCCGCTAAACCAATGAGGCGATTAAATATTGGGCTCAACCAAACGTGAACATTAAATTCTACTATAATAATAACATTGTCATGTTTAATTAAATTAATGTATGGTACACAGCATTGCGCATATTAAATATTGAACTTAAAATATGTTTCCATTTAAAAAAAGATACACGAACGATGTTCCCAATTAATTATATCATCCCATAATTTCGTGATAAATGCATGGGAATTATGAGTGAATTAACTCATAGGACACAGCCTACTGGGTTTCTCGCCGGATCTTCTCAGTGAGTAGCGTTTCCAACCCAGTGGTAAATTCTGCCAAGCACTGTTCTTGCTAGGGCCAGTGTTAGCAACACTCCCGGCTTGAGCCCCGTGAGCTCACCTACACGTCAAGGAGAAGCTGAAATAGCCTCTCAAGAGTATCAGCATAAGTAGGAAAAAATAAAAGGGAATTAAAACTGTATATAACGTAATACAGATCGGTGGTATCCGAGAGGCTTATTCATGTCAATCCGAGATCCGTATTTTGAGCAAAGCCGTGTGCTCCGCGATTTATTGCGCAAATACCTGGATTTACTGGCAGCCGTCAAAATTATATTACAATTTGTACAATTGTAATAATTACTTAATCCTTTCTATCTGCACGATGACAACAACTAAAATACAGTTTATGGAAATTATTAAATTATCACAATATTGAACATCGATGTTATTAGAGCACAAGCTCATTTGATGAACGTTTGCAAGAACGTTTGATGTTTTAGATATTGGTCTTTATAAAAAGAGATTTGTTACATTTGTCTATAATAATAATATAATTAATAGCATTCATTAATAGCAGCATTATAATGTCGATAAAATATGACGATGTCATTTCAAAATCATAGATCAGCATCTGTTTAACAAATATTAGTATTAGCTTAGATAGTAGCAAAAAAGTAGGCATAATCTTTTATAATATAGGTAGGTATATTATAAGGTTCGTCACACCAATAGAGAAGTATTTTCTAAAAAAGTGTTTCTAAAATATGTATATGAATGAGGAGCCCACCTGGTGTTAAGTGGTTACTGGAGCACATAGGCATCTACAACGTAAATGCGCCACCCACCTTACATACATATTAGGTTTATTTATATTCTATGAATATTATACTGGAGATGTATTACCTCAATATAAATTAACAATAACAATATTCATTTCATTTCATTCAATCTAATCATAAACTCTTAGCCAGAACTTTTTCTAGGACAACTTTGAGGGTCAAGAAATAAAACTAAAACTTTGCGTTATTACGTATGGACGTATTAGGAGTTCGTATAGATATCTAAAACTGTCCTATTTAGCTATACCGCGATGCTGTTATGAATGTCAATTTTATTCGAAAGTGAGTAATGTGGTACCTACATGCCTTCAAACATTTCCATTGGCTAGGTTAATCACTTATTGTGCTTTTATCTGTCTATCTTTGTTTAAAAAAACCTCATCGTTTTAGCTAATATTAGTGTACATCCCTTAAGTAACACAAGATGGCCGCATTTCAATAACTATTCAACGATATTATTATTGGAATAAAACAAAAAAAAAACGTAGAACAAGATACCGTATGGCCGCATTTCAGTAACTATTCAATGATATTATTATTAGAATAAAACAAAAAAAAAAACGTAGAAAAAAGGTCAAAATAATTGATAGACATTATATCGAAAACATTAGAATCGTTTTGCATTAACCGACTCGCATTATACTAAGAACATGCTTAGTGAAAAGCAATTTACTTGTTGCGAATCTTATACACTGATATTTTCATAATATTGCATGATTTATTAGAAAATATCAGTAAATGTGATAACCATCGTCAACTTAATATTTTGTTTGTTAGTACCTGTTGCGTGTTATATAAGAAAAAACAATTTACATTTTATTTTTCTACATTTTAGTAAAGCTGGTCAGTTTTAATTATTTTCATCGAGTCTAAGGTTCATGATAGTGTTATGCGCTGGGGCTCAGGATAAAAGAAAAGTTCCACCAAAGTACAAATTAAAACTGTATTATCACTTACAACACTCACAGAACACTTTAAAATTCTTAGTTCACTTCTTCCGCTTCGCTTCAGATGATTCGTTCGCTGTTTCGCTTCGAGTAGTTCCGATGACTAACTGACTGCATTTTTTTTTTTTTTTTTATGATTGAAGGATTACTGGTGGCCCGGAGGCCTTTCCAGTTTCACCAGGACAGGTGGGCAAGCAAAGGCTCAGCCAGGAGGGGTGGGATTTGCTAACAGCTACCCGAGCGCCTCCGAAGGAGGCCTAACAACTCAAGAGTAGCTGCTTCGCGAATGAATCTACTACCGGATCGGAATCGCGACCCGCTGAGAAGATCCGGCGAGAAACTCAGCGAGCTGATTCATGGGTTAGGTTGCACGGCGAACTCTTTGTCGAGTTCGACGAGTACGGTTACCGAGGTCCCTAAGCCTGCTCCTAGAGCTGAAGGCGTCTAGTGCAAAGGTTATTGGATCTGATGGATCCGTAAGGACGTGTCTAGGGCGTCGACGGTGACTGGCTCCTGCATGATCAGGATTCGGGGAGTAGTCAGCGGCGGCTACGATAAGGCGATTATCATGACGCATAGCCTTATCGAAGTACCGTTCCGACAGAAACAAGTCCCTAATCGCGAGTAAGCTCCAGAGTGCAGCGTTAACCCTCGGACAGTGGTTCCGAAAATGGCGCATAGACATCAACCCAGCGAAAAGCACAGCAGTGTTATTTCGAAGGGGAAACTCACCGCTTATTTCCTCCCGCATTAGGAGGAGAAATATCACACCCTCGATCACCCTCTTCGGCCAACCTATACCCTGGGCTAGGAAGGTCAAGTACCTGGGAGTCACCCTGGATGCATCCATGACATTCCGCCCGCATATAAAAACAGTCCGCGATCGTGCCGCGTTTATTCTCGGACACTCTACCCATGATCTGTAAGCGGAGTAAAATGTCCCTTCGGAAGGACAAGGTGACACTTTACAAAACTTGCATAAGGCCCTGTCATGACTTACGCGAGTGTGGTGTTCGCTCACGCGGCCCGCACACACATAGACACCCTCCAATCCCTACAATCCCGCTTTTGCAGGTTAGCCGTCGGGGCTCCGTGGTTCGTGAGGAACGTGACCTACACGACGACCTGGGCCTCGAATCGAATCCGAAACACATGAAGTCAGT